TCACTTAAGAAACCGAACTACGGGCGGAAACAGAGTCACCATCATGACTTCACAAATATAAGCAAATGACCAGTCTCAATAGCCATAATATTCCAAAAATTCGTGATCTTCAATCTAACAACGTAACACGCCGAGGGAGTCACGCCATAACTTCACAATAACAAATAAATCATATTTCTCATTGCCCATAACATTTTCAAAAGTCATGATTCTCAAATCACATTTCTCATTGACCACAACACTTCATGTTGTGGCAGTAACAGATAAACATTGTCATATTCAATGACCATAACACTTCTTGTCATGACAGTAACTGATTAGCAATCTCATATTCATTGGCCTTTAACACTTCATGTTGTGACAGTAATTGATAACAATGTTATATTCATTGACCATAACACTTCGTGTCGTGACAGAAACTGATTAGCAATCTCATATTCGTGGACCGTAACACTTCATGTCGTGACAGTAACTGATCAAAATAAGAAACCTTCATTGGCCATGACACTTCACATCGTGACAGTGGCCGATTAGCAATCTCATATTCATTGGCCGTAAGACTTCAAGTCGTGACGTCGACCGTAACTGGTAAACAATCTCATGTTCATTGGCCATGACAGTAACTGACAAGCAATCTGGTATTGATTGGCCATAACACTTCTACAGTCACAATCATCAATCGAAGAACCCGCTAAAAGAATCATGTCGTGAAAGTTACTGACCAGTATTCTCATATTCATTCGCCATAACACTTCTACAGTCACGATCATCAATTGAACAACCCGCCGAAAGAATCATGTCGTGAAAGTAACTGATCAACATTCTCATATTCACTGGCCATAACAATTCCACAGTCACGATCATCAATCGAACAACCCACCGAAGCATGTTGTCCGTTTCGTAAACGGTCGATGTTTCGCGACACTTAGAAATTTTTTAACTATCAACGAATTTTTCTCTACGAAATTAAAGAAAAAAGAAAATTTGTACGTAACCACCCAGAATCGAACCCGAAACCTCTGTTTCTTAACATCCCACTTCTACCACTACACTACCAGGTTGATCCGCAATATCTCTGCAAAATTTAATAATAAAACGCGACTTTCTTAAATATTAATGATAGAGTTGCCCCAGCCATCAAATAAAAGCTAACCGCAAGCGCAGTGTGAATATGAACAATCAAGCATTTGACGAGCGCGTTTTACTCAATCAACAAATTAAAACCAGTGTCTACCTTGTCCATTCTGAAAGGCTTGGTTACCAATGATGGCATCGACCGTTAAAAATGGATTCGACCGTTTACGAAATGAAAATCAGCCCCGCCGAAAGAATCAAATCGTGAAAGTAACTGATCAACATTCTCATATTCATTGCCATAACACTCCTCTGTCACGATCATCATTCGAACAACCCGCCGAAAGAATCACGTCGTGACAGTAACTGATAAACAATCTCACATTCATTGGCCATAACACTTCCATTGTCACGATCATCAATTGAACAATCCGCCGAAAGAATCATGTCGTGAAAGTAACTGATCAGTATTCTCATATTCACTGGCCATTACACTTCTACAGTCACAATCATCAATTGAACAATCCGCCGAAAGAATCATGTCGTGAAAGTAACTAATCAACATTCTCATATTCATTGGCCATAACACTTCTCTGACAAGTACTCACATATGACAATAGACGCCTCTAAACTTGTACTTATGTATATTTTACTGCCCAAGAACAAAAAGACAATGGACGAAAGGAGAATAGGAACCACCCAATATGGTTATAGCATTGTCACGTAACTACATATAATCGCACTAAATCCCGCAAAAAATTTCACTGATATGCAATTTCTATAAATAAACCAGGTGGAAAGTAACAAGGGAACCACCACATATGATATAACATTTAAGAAATAGAAAACATGTACCGTGTTTCTATCGAAACACGAGTGGAAGTTTGGGAGAACAAGAAATGCTGTGGGAACACGAGACGCAGGTGAGTGTTTCCACAGCTTTTACGAGTTCTCCCAAACTTTCAGGAGTGTTTCTATAACTCGATAGAAACACGGAGAACACTGCGACGAAAAAAAGGAAAACAGCTTGTTTACTTTGATCATCAAAATGTAAATTCTCTTTGCTCGTGCCATCATTACGTCAACAGCTCGTGCTAGTTCTGTGTTTTCATCGAGTTATAGAAACACGATTTTTAACCAATCAGCGCGCGTATTTTCTTAGGACTGTTTTCTAAATAATATATGGCACATAGCATTTCGTAATCCTGACGCAAGCACATAATCTGGCAGCCCAGCGAGTCTGACAACAAGTCGATATTTTCGATAAAAAAAAAAAATGCCAAAAGGCGGAGGCCGTGTAAAAGTTTTGCACATGATAAATTCAGAAAACAAATCTGTCATGGCTGACTGCGTCACCCAACGTGGAAAATAACAAGGGAACCACACCCTGAGGCACGTAACACCCCGTAATCGTTATCAACGAGCCTGCAAGACGCTAATCCATAAAAAAAAAATACAACCCAGGGACATAGAAAATAACAGCAATAAGCAGATATTTCCCTTAAAAATATTGCTAAAGAGACGGAGGCCATGGAAAAAAATCTGCACATAATGAAAAACAAATTTGAAATGGCTACTCTTGACAGGAAGACAACGAACCCGTTACAGTGTTGACACAATTTGGTATCTAAAATTATCAGGGCAAGACTCACAGACATTTAATCCTAATATTGTAAAAAGAATACCACTTCAGTAGTGTGCCATGCTGCCGTGCAATTGTAGTGACTTTGGATGCAGCCACGAGGGTGGATTAAGTCCTTGAGAACTCAAATGAAAACTCAAAGTCACTTTCAGCCAAATGCTGGACCTGGAAATGTCAAGTAGCAATAGTAGAACGTCTTAACTATCCACAAACATCCGCAGAGCGAACTAGCCCAGAGATTCAACCCCAAAATACGCGTTTGCAGTCTTCGTTTGAGGCATTACGTCGAGCGAAGGAACTCTAATTCTACAAAACAAAACAACTGAAACTGGAAGAAAAATTCGCGAACAGTAATAAATACACTCGTTCGTTGTCTCACCTGAATCAGTAGAGCGGGCAAACCTATGTTACAGTTTATCCGTCGAAGGCTGTTTCACTCAACTCGTATTTTAAAGCGCTGAAAAGCACGAGCATGTTCTCGGAGCCGCTGCAATCGACAGCATCAAAATATTCATGTGGTTTGTTGACTTATATGCAATATCGATAATCTATGCAGTACGAATAGAATTTAGAATTTAGAATTTAATCAGAGTGCACTGCGCCACGTTTTGCCAGAGTGCATTACGTTACGAACAACTCGAGGATGTCGTCCTTTCACCGGCGCCGTGTGGATTCCAGTGACAAAGGTTAAATAGTGGTTATGCTTTGCTCTGATTTACCTGTAAAGCGATGTGAAGGAGATCGTGCTTGACTTTCACAACTCTTGCTTTTGATCTTAAGGTCATTCCCCAGTGTTGCATTGCGCATCCCTACTGCGCATAATTTCACGCGTGATTAGCGCGCGCATTAAAAAATGGCGGCTTTTCCTTTACGGCTGGACCTTCCAGTAGAGGTAAATCGTCATTTTCTCGCAAACGAGTATGGTGACCTATCATTTTTTTTCTGTTGTTTTGAATTGAGTAATAAATTTCTCTGAGTAAAATAAATATGGTGGTCATCAATAACTGCGATGATCATTCTTCACTTTCATCTACAACCGCAGTTCATATATGAATTATTTCATATAAACNCAGGCTTCTTCTTTCCAATTGCTTAAATTGGAAAATTAACTGCGATGATCATTCTTCACTTTCACCTTGCTTCTTTATTTGTCAAATGAAACATGGGTTTTAGACCAATCAGAGCGCGGTCCTATCTACATTATAAAAAGTAATAAAATTAACTCACCATATTTCAATGAACAGCCAAGAAGCTCGAACCTCAGGCACACCTGTTTACCTTTGTACAATTCTGGATAAATTTTAATTAGCTCCACAACAACGGGTGGTTTTAGTGTCCTTCTGTGCGGCTTACTGTCGATGTTACCTTCAAAGGACTGAACAAAACAATTTGCAACGGTTGAAAGCTGTTCAAAATGTTCCCTAAGGCTAATTTAATTTGAATAACCACATGTTTGCATTCAACCTTTTATTATTTCTTAACCAATTGCACCAGTCCCTTTAAGAACAAGGCTAATTTTAGGCAGAGCAAGGTTCATTTGTTGTAGTGCACAGTCCAAGTCTCAAGTGTTCAACAACTGAGCGAACAAAATATTCGGGAATTTTCTTAATAAACACAAAATGTTAAATTAGAGGAAACAAACTTAGTTCAGACAGAGCTTATTACTGGCTGAAATTTCCCTAGGAAAAAAAAAACTTGTTTAGTTAAACTTGCTTAGTTTTTTTTTAGCTGCATTTCTTCAGGGGTAAGGGGTTACTTTCATATATTTCGCTCACTGGTAACTTGTTGAAATTTGATACCTTCACAATGTTGTTTTGTTCATCGCGAAACCACTTTAAAGGCACATTCTTTATGTCTGGTGTGTAAGCAATCCGGTAACGCTTCACTTTCTCCACTCCATTATAACGGCCTTGTGTAACAATAACTTTGAGTAATACCGGCGTGTTCAGCCTGACTTCAATAAACTGGTCATTAAATGGTCCCGTTTCATCTCCACTGCGCGTCTGATTAGGGCACCATCCACCATAGCCATCCCTATAATTCAATCTGCCATGAGAAGCGTCGCTTAGACCATTTAAATTGGTTGTAGTTATAAGTTGATCATCCTTGATGCGTCCATCCTCCATTCCCAGAGGAGACGGACAATCTACAAATGTGGATAACATAAAAATGGATTTAGTTCATGCACATTCAAAAAGTGGTTGGAAAACAATCTTTTACAAGAGTCAGAAATGCCCACCCTCTATTGCTGGTAGAAGCTAGATTAAACAATGAGAGAAAATCTGGAACAAGTTAAGGTGATTAGTTGATTGCCAGAGACGATCATAGTCTCCTACAAGAGGTTTTCAAAGCTGTGAATGTTTGAAAAAGAAATTTGTTATCTTACATGTACATGTGTACGAAAGCCCAGGAGGGACTTCAGACTTCAGACTTCAGACTTCAGACTTCAGACTTCAGACTTCAGACTTCAGACTTCAGACTTCAGACTTCAGACTTCAGACTTCAGACTTCAGACTTCAGACTTCAGTCCTCAGTCTTCAGTCTTCTACAATTCTAGATCAGAATCTCTCCTGTTTGGGTGTCTTTTACCCAAAACTATAATTAACTACACTTTCCCTTTTGGTGTGCAACCTGTATATATGGTAAGGCAAGAAGTGATATTTTGGTCTGGACGGAAAACGGAGGGGATTGAGGGTTAGAGAGAGCCCGATCAGTGATTCTGGAAAGGGCGAGCCATCCTCTCTCCCGGAAAGTGAAATCCACGAATGAGCTTATTCGGTGTTTTGTTATAAACTTCTGACGTTTTACGAATCTCTTATTAATCAAAGAAAGGTGTCTGAAACAAATAGTTGTTTGCCATTATCTGTTATAAACGAAACTACATCTGACTTGAAGTTGTCGATTTTTTTTAAAGATGTCAGCGTTCTGATTGTTTAATAATCGGTCTCGTTCACAGATTGTGTTGCAATCTATTTTAGAAAATAGCTCCAAGGAGATACGCACGCTGATTGGTTCAAAATCGAGTGTTCCTACTAAAGAACTGGTTGACGCTTAGCGTGCGTATATGGAGTTATGGATGCACATGGGAAATTTGGAGAGCACGCGAGAAGCGTAAGAGTTGCTCGAGAACTCGAGAAAGCTGTGGAAACACTCGCCTATCGGCTCGTGTTCCCATAGGAGGAAGACATTGGGGTTTGTGTTATTGCCGTATTGGACAATTTTCCTTGCGGTATTTCGGTAGTTTTAATCTCGAACTGCGGAATTACGGTATTCTCCGAACCTGCGGGATGCGGTTTCTTAACATTTTGGACGGTATTAAAAATTATCCTCCAAGTCCTCCAACCTTTTTCGAGCCTTTTCCAGTTTCCCATTGGAAAAGGTAAGATATTTTTTGTTAATTATTAGCCAACACGCCAATGGATGTCACTCATTTTAATTTGTTTGTTTTGTCCCCTGAATCGAAAATTACAAATTCCTATTTGCTGTTCCCGTGTTATTTGTTCTAAACTTGACATACAGAGTAGTGGTTTCGGTATGACATTTCGAATTTCGACTCGGCCTATTGAAGTGTTGCGATATTTGGCGACTTTATTTGGAACCCTCCCAATGTCCCTCACCCACAACATTTCTCGTTCTCTCAAACTTCCACTCGTGTTTATATGACTCGATAGAAACACGGTACGTGTTTTCTATTTCTTAAATAAAACTCATGGCGTTGCGTTCATAGATTTGTGTGACAACTATAAACTATGAAATAAATGAAGTAAACCAAGAACTCTCGCTTACCATTCGTATCAGTGTTGCCTGCTGTTACTACAATCACGAGGAACCCAATCATCAAACACGACGATAGAGCTCTGAATTGCTGATCAGCCATTTTGTGTGTTCCTGTTTCACAACTGAGGATTAAAGAAAACGCGATAGAAATCTTTGGATTTCCTTGAAGCCTCACCGTAAGGTCACATGAGTGACGTCAGTTACCACATATCAAGTTTAATCAAACCATTTTCCGCATGATTGTGAAATAGATAGGGCACATCCGCACTGACAAAAATGTTGTTTATTTAGACATGTTTTCTGCTATCACCAACGCTTTACAAGTGCGGATGGTTTGTCGCAATTTTAATGGCACATGTTGCCCTAAGCGAACAAATCTCCAAACCAACGCACCGCCGACAAAATTTTCCCAAGTACAACCATTTTTACTGATGCGTGATGAATCGTGGTTGGAACAAACTGCCCTCTATTCTTGTGGCTTCCGGTGACACAGCCATACGATGGAACGCCCCTCAATTTTCTTTCGAAGAAAACGATTTTGTTTCAAAAATGGCCTGACCTTTCAGTGGGCGTACCAGTCACGTTTTCAACAACCCGAAAACGCTGAAGAACACATTGGAGTAGTAAAAATAAATGAAACAGTTGGAATGCTGATACGGGTAGATCTGACAAAAATTGTCCTGACAAAATTTGTCCTTTGATTTTGTCCGAGAAAATTGTTAATGTTAACAATCAAGTAAAGCTGAAGTACACATTGGAAGAGTATAAAAAATTAGAGCAAAACAGTTGGAATGCGGTAAATGGGTAAATGTCACAAAAATTGACCCGACAAAATTTGTCCTTTGATCGATTTTTTTCTAAGATTATTCTTAATTTGTCTGCCAGTGTGGATAGGCCTATTCAGAACAATTCCCTTTCTTCTCATTTGTGGAAAAAGAGCTCGCTGTTTCCTAAAGTAGCTCTCCTCATCTCCTATTTAAACTTGCTTTCTATTTCAACATTGACTAGATTCCGAGGTTACTCAGTTATGACTCGTCAGATCAAGTTTCCTGTTTTGTCATTCAGTCTGTGTTCATTCACAGCCTCAGCCTCATCTTTAGTTATGAAACAGCTTCAAAATGTTGGCTTACCTTTCTCTTCGAATTCTCGACCTATATGATCTTCGATTCCTTTCTCTATCATATAGTGAAAACGTCTTTCCCATCGAAATAATGATATTTCTAGCCTGCGACCGCAGTTGTATTGCCTTCAAAGACAAGCGGCAGCCGGAAATACATCTGCGTTAAGTTCGCAGGCTATGATATTTCTGGAAAGTTCTGGGACCTAACTGAACATCCGCTTCAGCAAGACTTTGGTTTGGCGCCTCTGAAATGTCATTCATCTTCCACTTCAGCCAAATCCCCAGGGAGTTAGTAGGCTGAACCACATTTCAGGCTAGCGCCCAGTTTCAGCGTAGATCTTTGCACCCCGTTCCGATACTGGCTACGCAATTGGATGTAATTCAGATGCCGCGGTTGTGAACAGCGATTTTTTAGCTGCTATTAGACCAGGTATAATTTCGTCTCTTCAAAATTGTATTCAGAAATATTCAAAGAAAGAGCAGATGAAGAAAGACGTTTTAGCCATCGCCGGTTTTCCTTGATATACCTTTCGGCACTAATTTTTTAATGTGAAACTCCGTCGTTTTCTTGACACTGGAAACCTTCACTCCCACCGTCAGTCGCTTCTTCTTGTGCGGAGCTTGCAGAACTTTTCAGTTTGCCAAGAATCGTGAAACTGTGTACATCAGTTGACGATATACCGGAGCACTTTATGCAACTAAGGGAAGAATAATTTGTTTATTCCCACACTCTTAATCACTTTCAATAAAATAAATGAATCTGTCGGTTAAGCAGGAATCGCAAAAATAACACTGCATGACGCGATGTGTTGCGTTTCGCTAACGACATTTCAACTATAAGTAAACAAGCAAAAAGCCGCGTAAGTGTCCGGATAAATCTAAACATCGCTGATGAGGGGCGGTAGACGTTCGTCCAAAAGAGAACACCGGATCGCAGGTTAGTTTCAAATAGATTGCCAAATTTAACTTTAGTTCGGCTTTGGATCTTCTAAATTTTCGAATAAATCAATAAAATCAACTTCTGGTTTACAGCTACATCTTTATCACTTTCAGCATTGCACCTTTCCAGTTGTTGCAGCCGAGAGAGTCGAAAGATCTTTTAAGATTTTGATCCAATTAAAGATGGCGAAAACTATGGGCCCATTACATTCTCGTAGATTAGAAATATTTGTTATCAGCTGGTATTTGTTCCCCTCGTGAGAGGTTTGGCTCGTATTTAACATCGCAAAATTGACGGGTTTTGGCAGGTTCCATAGTTTTGTCTTAGTCTAGAAGGTTATTTCAAGGCAAACTAAACAATCCCAGACGTCTTAGTGCACTTAGCTGGTGTCCAGTCTTCCCGACGTTTGTGGTGCGAGGAAGTGATGGCCGTGGAACGAGTCTCTTTTAAAGAATGACTGAATGCGCAGTGTCAGATTTTTTTTTACTGAATCCGATGAATCGACTTGGACGCTGACCAAGATTCTGTTCCCCATATTTTCCCGCCTTTTTGTTCTCGTGGCGGGCGACAGCTTGTCGTACCCAGGCATTATCATAACCACGTCACGAGTTTCACTATCAACTGCTTCATAACGAAACTGATAGAACGGATACTCTAAAGCATACAGTATAGGTAGCACTCTAAATATACCGGGGTAGATGGTTTCACTCTGGGATGGTACTTGGGAACATGATCTCAAAGTCCGCGAAGAAACATATTAATTGTTTCCTTTTATTATGTTATTTCATTATTTTATTTTATCATATGCTTATCTTTTTTACAATTTACACTGTCTATTAGTTTTACGTATTTCCGGTATTACGCAAATATACTACATAAAAACCCCTCCCAATTTAAAATTCTCATTGTACCTGAAGAAGGCTGGTTTAGCCAGCCGAAATGAAGTACACCTTAAAAAGGTGTACTTTAGTATCTTTATCATTTAACATCTTGTAAGTTATCATCNAAATGGTCCCGTTTCATCTCCACTGCGCGTCTGATTAGGGCACCATCCACCATAGCCATCCCTATAATTCAATCTGCCATGAGAAGCGTCGCTTAGACCATTTAAATTGGTTGTAGTTATAAGTTGATCATCCTTGATGCGTCCATCCTCCATTCCCAGAGGAGACGGACAATCTACAAATGTGGATAACATAAAAATGGATTTAGTTCATGCACATTCAAAAAGTGGTTGGAAAACAATCTTTTACAAGAGTCAGAAATGCCCACCCTCTATTGCTGGTAGAAGCTAGATTAAACAATGAGAGAAAATCTGGAACAAGTTAAGGTGATTAGTTGATTGCCAGAGACGATCATAGTCTCCTACAAGAGGTTTTCAAAGCTGTGAATGTTTGAAAAAGAAATTTGTTATCTTACATGTACATGTGTACGAAAGCCCAGGAGGGACTTCAGACTTCAGACTTCAGACTTCAGACTTCAGACTTCAGACTTCAGACTTCAGACTTCAGACTTCAGACTTCAGACTTCAGTCCTCAGTCTTCAGTCTTCTACAATTCTAGATCAGAATCTCTCCTGTTTGGGTGTCTTTTACCCAAAACTATAATTAACTACACTTTCCCTTTTGGTGTGCAACCTGTATATATGGTAAGGCAAGAAGTGATATTTTGGTCTGGACGGAAAACGGAGGGGATTGAGGGTTAGAGAGAGCCCGATCAGTGATTCTGGAAAGGGCGAGCCATCCTCTCTCCCGGAAAGTGAAATCCACGAATGAGCTTATTCGGTGTTTTGTTATAAACTTCTGACGTTTTACGAATCTCTTATTAATCAAAGAAAGGTGTCTGAAACAAATAGTTGTTTGCCATTATCTGTTATAAACGAAACTACATCTGACTTGAAGTTGTCGATTTTTTTTAAAGATGTCAGCGTTCTGATTGTTTAATAATCGGTCTCGTTCACAGATTGTGTTGCAATCTATTTTAGAAAATAGCTCCAAGGAGATACGCACGCTGATTGGTTCAAAATCGAGTGTTCCTACTAAAGAACTGGTTGACGCTTAGCGTGCGTATATGGAGTTATGGATGCACATGGGAAATTTGGAGAGCACGCGAGAAGCGTAAGAGTTGCTCGAGAACTCGAGAAAGCTGTGGAAACACTCGCCTATCGGCTCGTGTTCCCATAGGAGGAAGACATTGGGGTTTGTGTTATTGCCGTATTGGACAATTTTCCTTGCGGTATTTCGGTAGTTTTAATCTCGAACTGCGGAATTACGGTATTCTCCGAACCTGCGGGATGCGGTTTCTTAACATTTTGGACGGTATTAAAAATTATCCTCCAAGTCCTCCAACCTTTTTCGAGCCTTTTCCAGTTTCCCATTGGAAAAGGTAAGATATTTTTTGTTAATTATTAGCCAACACGCCAATGGATGTCACTCATTTTAATTTGTTTGTTTTGTCCCCTGAATCGAAAATTACAAATTCCTATTTGCTGTTCCCGTGTTATTTGTTCTAAACTTGACATACAGAGTAGTGGTTTCGGTATGACATTTCGAATTTCGACTCGGCCTATTGAAGTGTTGCGATATTTGGCGACTTTATTTGGAACCCTCCCAATGTCCCTCACCCACAACATTTCTCGTTCTCTCAAACTTCCACTCGTGTTTATATGACTCGATAGAAACACGGTACATGTTTTCTATTTCTTAAATAAAACTCATGGGGTTGCGTTCATAGATTCGTGTGACAACTATAAACTATAAAATAAATGAAGTAAACCAAGAACTCTCGCTTACCATTCGTATCAGTGTTGCCTGCTGTTACTACAACCACGAGGAACCCAATCATCAAACACGACGATAGAGCTCTGAATTGCTGATCAGCCATTTTGTGTGTTCCTGTCTGACAACTGACGATTAAAGAAAACGCGATAGAAATCTTTGGATTTCCTTGGGGCCTCACCGTAAGGTCATACGAGTGACGTTACCACATATCAAGTTTAATCAAACCATTTTCCGCATGATTGTGAAATAGATAGGGCACATCCGCACTGGCAAAAATGTTGGTTATTTAGACATGTTGTCCTTTGATCGATTTTTTCCTAAGAGTATTCTTAATTTGTCCACTAGTGTGGATAGGCCCATTCAGAACAATTCCCTTTCTTCTCATTTGTGCAAAAAGAGCTCGCTGTTTCCTAAAGTAGCTCTCCTCATCTCCTATTTAAACTTGCTTTCTATTTCAACATTGACTAGATTCCGAGGCTATTCAGTTATGGCTCGTCAGATCAAGTTTCCTGTTTTGTCATTCAGTCTGTGCTCATTCATAGCCTCAGCCTCATCTTTAGTTATGAAACAGCTTCAAAATGTTGGCTTACCTTTCTCTTCGAATTCTCGACCTATTCTATGATCTTCGATTCCTTTCTCTTTCATATAGTGAAAACGTCTTTCGCATCGAAATAATGATATTTCTAGCCTGCGAACGCAGTTGCATTGCGTTCAAAGACAAGCGACATCCGGAAATAGTCCGCGTTAATTTCGCAGGCTATGATATTTCTGGAAAGTTCTGGGACCTAACTGAACATCCGCTTCAGCAAGATTTTGGTTTGGCGCCCCTGAATATCATTCATCTCTCACCCTCTGCCAAATCCCCAGGGAGCTAGTAGGCTGCCCACATTTCAGGCTAGCGCCCAGTTTCATCGTAGATCTTTGCACCCCGTTCCAATACTGACTACGTAATTGAATGTAATTCAGATGCCGCGGTTGTGAACAGCGATTTTTTAGCTGCTATTAGTCCAGTTATAATTTCGTCTCTTCAAAATTGTATTCAGAAATATTCAAAAAAAGAGCAGATGAAGAAAGACTTTATAGCCATCGCCGGTTTTCCTTGATATACCTTTCGGTACTAATTTTTTATGTGAAACTCCGTCGTTTTCTTGACACTGGACACGTTCACTCCCACCGTCAGTCGCTTCTTCTTGTGCGGAGCTTGTAGAACTTTTCAGTTTGCCAAGAATCGTGAAACTGTGTACATCAGTTGACGATATACAGGAGCACTTTATGCAAACTAATGGAAGAATAATTTGTTTATTCCCACACTTTTAATCACTTTCAATAAAATAAATGAATCTGTCGGTTAAGCAGTAATCGCAAAAATAACACTGCATGACGCGATGTGTTGCGTTTCGCCAACGACATTTCAACTATAAGTAAACAAGCAAAAAGCCGCGTAAGTGTCCGGATAAATCTAAACATCGCTGATGAGGGGCGGTAGACGTTCGTCCAAAAGAGAACACCGGATCGCAGGTTAGTTTCAAATAGATTGCCAAATTTAACTTTAGTTCGGCTTTGGATCTTCTAAATTTTCGAATAAATCAATAAAATCAACTTCTGGTTTACAGCTACATCTTTATCACTTTCAGCATTGCACCTTTCCAGTTGTTGCAGCCGAGAGAGTCGAAAGATCTTTTAAGATTTTGATCCAATTAAAGATGGCGAAAACTATGGGCCCATTACATTCTCGTAGATTAGAAATATTTGTTATCAGCTGGTATTTGTTCCCCTCGTGAGAGGTTTGGCTCGTATTTAACATCGCAAAATTGACGGGTTTTGGCAGGTTCCATAGTTTTGTCTTAGTCTAGAAGGTTATTTCAAGGCAAACTAAACAATCCCAGACGTCTTAGTGCACTTAGCTGGTGTCCAGTCTTCCCGACGTTTGTGGTGCGAGGAAGTGATGGCCGTGGAACGAGTCTCTTTTAAAGAATGACTGAATGCGCAGTGTCAGATTTTTTTTTACTGAATCCGATGAATCGACTTGGACGCTGACCAAGATTCTGTTCCCCATATTTTCCCGCCTTTTTGTTCTCGTGGCGGGCGACAGCTTGTCGTACCCAGGCATTATCATAACCACGTCACGAGTTTCACTATCAACTGCTTCATAACGAAACTGATAGAACGGATACTCTAAAGCATACAGTATAGGTAGCACTCTAAATATACCGGGGTAGATGGTTTCACTCTGGGATGGTACTTGGGAACATGATCTCAAAGTCCGCGAAGAAACATATTAATTGTTTCCTTTTATTATGTTATTTCATTATTTTATTTTATCATATGCTTATCTTTTTTACAATTTACACTGTCTATTAGTTTTACGTATTTCCGGTATTACGCAAATATACTACATAAAAACCCCTCCCAATTTAAAATTCTCATTGTACCTGAAGAAGGCTGGTTTAGCCAGCCGAAATGAAGTACACCTTAAAAAGGTGTACTTTAGTATCTTTATCATTTAACATCTTGTAAGTTATCATCCTATGTTGTGTCGGTTTTTGCTTTTACTTTCTTCATTTTCTATGTGAAGCCGATTAGATCACTGCTGATCCAACGTCTACCAGCAGGATCATCGTTCGCGGTTGCTTGTTTAAACATTTTATAGAAAAAAGAGGATCTATAACAGTTCTTGTGTCCCGACGTTTCTATAGTGGTACACGTATTCTGTAGATTTTGTGGCGGCCACGTTCGACCAAATTCTTGTTATCAACATCCACAAGACCGTGGACAATTTTAAACATGAGAGTTAGACGGCTTATAGCTCTCCTCACTTGAACGCTTTACCATCCACTTGTTGAACCAAAATCATCATGGCAAAATAACCTGTATAGATGACATGCAAGTCATGTACATATCAAATATCTTCATGTCTATTTGGTGATACTATTTGTATGGGCCCAGAAAATCCCAGCAGAAAGTTGTGAAAATACGACGGCTGCTGTTCTGAATAACAGACGCACATTCAACATCCAATAATGTTTTTTTTCCTTTATACGTAACGTTTTTAACCTTTGTACGTAACATAAACTTAAACCTCCAATTGTGAATCAACAAAACGTTGTTTATTATTACAAGTGTGGTCTATGCGATGCAGACTATGTCGGCTTTACGAGTCGACAACTGCATCAACGTGTGGAGGAACATTAGCGATCAACAATCGGCAGCCACGTGAAGGATGAGCACGGAAAGGATCCAGAGACCATTGGAAGCAATCTCAGGATTTTGAAAAAATGTCAGAGTAAACTCGACTGTTTGATTTTTGAAATGCTTTTTATTCGTAAACTTCAACCAAAATTGAACAAACAGAGTGACTCGATCTGCGCGAAGGTATTTACTTAATTATTTTAATTATTTTATTCAGTTAAATCGTTTCTATCGCCTTAACGTTTTTATTACTCATGCTGCAATTTTCTTGTATTATTTCTATGTAAATATTTTAGAGTTTTAGTCAGTGTCTCATTAGCATTCTTATAATCGATTGTATATATTTGGGCGCATGCAAAACTTTTACTTTTCAACTTGAAAATGACCGTCATGCGGTCGAAACGTCGTTGCTTTTTATCGTTAACTTTTTTAGTGAAATCCGTTTCTAAAAATTTGTTGATTCGAATCCGCATGAAGTTTAGTTAAATTTAACTATTGTACATATCTTAGGTTTGAGATAAATCGTAATTTTTGTTGCTTATTAGATTGTTTGTTAAACAACCCAACAGGCTTTGTAGCTTTGAAAACTATCGTTTTAAAATAAAGGTTGATTGATTGATTGATTAGTGAGTTAACACTAAGCTTAGTATTATGGTTACTTTAATTTTGTAGATCAGCTGATCGCAAACACTGTTCAACTCTCATTTATCTCACACCCCCTTCCCTCTTGCGACCCAGCTGTCTCGACTCTTAAGCACACCTCAACTTTATAATCTGATAATATCAATTGAGAGTTCAAGTGCCGTTTCTTGGTAAATCTTCTTTAAAACACTTCTAAAGTTTACGATTTTTATCTAAACAAGGATAAAACCGCAGCGTCGAGGTGAAAACGGTGGACTACTCAGACTTGTCTTGGAGACCGGAAATTTTGTTTCTCCGTCCCCACCAACTGAAATATTGTGTATTAGGCTTCTTCTTATTTCCTGTTGTAAATACCAGAATTCTTTTGCATTCGCAGGCGTCAAGTTTTCTGTCACATCTCGTAAAGATTTTTTTGACTGACCAAGTGATTACCGGTTATTATGGCGCATTTAGGTGGTGTCCAGTCTCTAACTTGTTTGTAATTTATAAAGAGACCATGGCAATGACCTTGGACGAGTCAGTGCTGATGAATAGCTGAATGCTAAAAATGCTGAAAAGGTAATGGCTACAATTTTCCTTGTACTTCAGATGTCTTCCAGCAGAAGACGATAATCTATATCAGAGTCTCTTTCTCCCAGACATTTTCAGTACATTCAGATTGGATTTCTCCCAACGAGTTCTCTTGATTTTTCTTTTTATCCATTGAACATGCTAAGCTGCGTTCGTCGCTAGAGCGTACTTCCAGTATTGTGTGAATATTCATGTCGTCTTCACCCTCGCTGTCGGTGATATCTCCTCTGCGGTTTTTACACCCTAGGTCTGTTTCCCAGGTGAGTAAGTCATATCCTGACGGACTGTGTGTGTCTAACATTCCGTATGGCAAGCGCTGAGCAAGATGCCAGCCAACATTTTCCCGCCTTTTTTTCCTCTTGGCGGGCGTCAGCTTGTCGTACCCAGACCTTATAACCACGTTACGAGTTGCACTATCAACTGTTTCATTCTCATAACGAGGCTGATAGAACAGATACTCGACAGGACTCACAGATGGCCTTCCAAGGTGGTCGGTGTTTTCGTACGCCGAGTTTCGCAACTCTGTTCTATCAGTTGCTCTTTCTTCTTGGGGTGTCCTCAGCTGGAAGGGCAAGGTTTCCAGCGGGATTTCATTATTGCCTGGGCTGTTATTTTCGACATTTAGCGGGAAAATCCTGCTGAGACGAACCGTTGCATATGGTGCTATTTCTTCTTCATCTGCTCCATCCGGAGTATTTGGTTTACGCCCTGCCCCTGAAGGAATGACCAAGTTAAGTTAGAATTCTGAACAGCTGAAAAAATCGAAGCCAAAAGTAACAGGAGCAATTTTTTGCTTGACTTACTGTGTTTCTTGAAAAATATAATAGCCAGTGCTGCTACAAAGATGAAAAACACTGATCCTACAGTTGAAACTATGGTGATTTCCATAAACGTCATCCCTGAAATAACTGACAAACCATGAAAAGAAACGAATTATTCATGAAGCTTCGGAATAAGACGACTATAGGACCTTTGCAGCTATGCCATCACGTGACCTACTTTTCATGAAATTATGGACTATAACGAATAACCAGAAATGGAAAAAGCATGTCGAAAATATCATAATAGCCAAGTTTGAGGCCCCCATCACCAGAGAATGAGATTCGATGACGGTCTGAATTTTTGAAAAAATAAGAAGATTTGTATGGAAAAAGTTGTTGGAGAGCAAGACCTTGCTCTCCAGCAACGTTTTCCGTACAAATCCTCTAAATTTTCCGAAAATTCAAACTGTGGTATAAACTTACTCGTTGATTCCTGGGGCCTCAAACTTGGTCATTTTGGTATTTTCGATGCGCTCTTTCCATTTCTGGCATTCTTTAAGTTATAGCCCATAATATAAAAATTTTCTAGGAAATATTTGGTCACGTGACCCCAGCTGCAAAGGGCCTATTATACCACATATATGCTGGCCGGCCAAGCCAAGGAGAATACATCATAATATATACACGTTATATTACACCAAATATAGCATTATATTGGCTGAGTAGTAAAGGTCATCTAAAGCAAATATAAGATCAGTTGAGGGTCAGCTTTCTGTCTTTTATTTCCATCCTTGCATACGGCTGGCGCGTCTGAAATTTAAATTGACCAATCAGGATTCAGCAGGCGGGAAAACTTTACTGTCCTGACGTTAATGTTTTAAGTTAACAGGAAAGGCATTGAAGTCAGGCAACTTTTCTCACTGGAGATGGCACTAAATATTTACGAAAAGGGACTTACAATTCAAAAACCCATATCAGATTGTAATAAGTGAAAAATATGAAACATTTTTTGTCTTCAAGCCGGCGTCCGGCATGGCAACTCGCTCGTAGTTCGTCGAGTGTCGATGTTTAGGATAATAACTGTATTATTTTGAACAACAAATACTCAAGTTAACTATTAAAAGAGGCTAAAATCACTTTAGCATTGTCTTTATTTTTGTTAGCTGCGAAGAAAACGGCCATTATCGCGTCGTTTCGGTAGGACAGCTCAGTTTTGGTTTGCCGCTCGTACTGAGGGCGCAGCCGCTGTATGCAAGGCCGTAGCTTTTCATAACAAGTCAAATTACGTTTGAGTTCGTTTTTTCGGATGGTCGTTCTTTCGGTGGATCGCCACTTTGGAAAATTTACGGTACAACAACAATCCGCTATTAGTGATGATGGCTGTAAAGAAAGTATCTATTATATATCATCGGTGACAAATTACTCCTTAAGTTTGGCGCGAAATTTCAGCGTTAATTCATAATTTCAAATGTGAAATTACAAAATTGCTATGGCAACATTTCTTGTATCTCGATTAGTGCCAAGATGGCGTCGAAATTTAAGAAAGTGACCATTGAAGAAGTCACGGAATTAAAAGAAGCGGCAGAAAACTTAAATACGCGAAAGAGCACAATTAACTGGGTGAGGGTTTTTGAGAAGTGGTGTGACGAAAAACCTTGAGAAAAACCTGGAGATGATTCTTCCTGAACAGTTCGATGAATAACTCGAGCAGTTTTACGCCTCCGTGTGTAAAACAAGACGGAACCGATTACGAATCTGGGTCCCTAAAACTGATTATCCAACCACTCAGTCCGGAAAACGGTGGTCAGAAAGCTGAAGGCCAAGGGAACAAAGCGTTGAAGCCTACTACTCTGGGAACGAAGACGACCAGCGACAACTGTCTAACCTAATCATTGATGGCAAAGAAATCCACTTGAACCAGAAAACCAGTCGAGTTCCCCTTCAGCCGCTGATCAAGTCCACTGCAGCGGTGAGCAGTGGCCACGTCTACAGTTTCCACAACTGTAATGTGGTGACAAACCAAGGACATGCCGGACAGGCTAATATGGGGCGCCGTTTGTAAATTTATTATTTAGACCGAATTTTTTCCCCTTATTTATAAATAATTGGAAATGCCACAAAATTTGTTTATAAATAAGACACAAGACCTTGTTCGTTGATATGTAAATAATTGTTTTAGGTACGTCCTGATTTATAAATAATCTTTTACCATAGTGTTATTATATATAAATAATAAACTAAACAACTTCAATTATTTATAAATCAGGTCATCTCTAAAATTGTTATTTACATATCATAAAGTTTGTAAATCCCATTATTTATAAATAAATTACTTCGCCGGGAGTCTAAATGCATTATTTATAAATAATAAATTTCACCTCGCCGAGTGTAAATTTATTATTTATAAATAATGAACTTCACTGAGTATGTAAATTCATTATTTAGAAATAATGAATTTCACCTCGCCGAGTGTAAATTTAGAAATAATGAACTTCACTGAGTATGTAAATTCATTATTTAGAAATAATGAAGTTTCATCTCGCCGACTGTAAATTTAACCGTGTGTGTAAATTCATTATTTGGAAATAATGAGTTTCATCTCGCCGAGTGTAAATTTATTACTTAGAAATAATGAACTTCACTGAGTATGTAAATTCATTATTTAGAAATAATGAAAGTATGAATGGCTG